GTGCGGTGAGAGGGGCCCTGGCTCAGAAAGGCACCCAGCACCGGCATCACCATGCACCCCATCCACAGGAGCTCACCCCAGCAGCCCTTGAACACCCTGGGGTGACGTGGGGCACTGGTGGCCCCTGCCCTGCAGCACCCCACGAGCCAGAGCATGGCCCCAAGCGAGCAGGGCACTGCAGGCAATGCCAGGGTGGGAACTCACCACTTGATGAAGTGAACTCTCTTGTTTCCCTGCAGAACAACGAAACCGAAGGGAGTGAAGGCCAAAAATGCCGCGTTCCCCGACACGTCCTGGAAGGAAACAGCAACTTCTCAGCAAAACGTTGCGCAGCCGGCAAAGCTTACCTGCTGTCAGCGACCCTCAGCCCTGTCGGCGGTGGTGACGCAAAATCCTCTGTGCCAACTCTGCCAGCGGGATGCTCCCGGCAGGTTCACCTGGACCATGGCATCCCAAGCACAAACACAGGCTGGGTGGGAAAGGGATCAAGATCAGCCCTGAGGAGAAGGACTTGGGGGTGCTGGTTGATGAGAAGCTCACCACGACCTGGCCACGTGTGCTGGCAGCCCAGAAAGCCAACCATGTCCTGGGCTGCATCCAAAGCAGTGTGGGCAGCAGGTCGAGGGGGGGGGTTGTTCCCCCCTGCTCTGCTCTCCTGAGACCCCCCCTCAGCTCTGGGGTCCCCAATATCAGAAGGACATGGAGCTGTTGGAGCAGGTCCAGAAGAGGCCACAAAAACAATCCGAGGGCTGGAGCGCCTCTGCTATGGAGACAGGCTGGGAGAGTTGGGGCTGTTCAGCCTGGAGAAGAGAAGGCTCCGGGGGGCAGCTCTGCTTGTCACTGGGATGCCCCGTGTCCAGGATCTCCCCAGCTCAAGGGTCTAACTCTCTGTCTTCTCCCATTTGTGCCCTTCCCTGGCTTCAATCCCCAAACTCATCACGCCTGAGATGCCACAGCCCTGTCAGACGGAGGAAGGAAGATTTCTGGGCGTTTTTGCGGAAAGCAGCCCCTGGGGAACCCTCCAGCCCCACAGCAGCTCCTGCAGCTCAGGCTTTGTGCTGCCCAAAGTGCTTTGGCTCTTTCCTGAGTCTGGAAACCGGTGAGCTGGACACCCCCCGCCCCCAGGCCAAGTGTATTTACTGCAATTGTGTATTTAAATGGAACAATTCAGTTCAAAGCCCCGGGGACCACAGGGCAGGCGCTGCCCTTGGAGCACAACTGTCGGTGTGCTTTGCATCCCACATCCATCTGCATGCAGTGGGACTGCGAGGAACCAGAGTGAGCCAAACGCAACGACATCCACAGTCAATAAAAAGTATTTCAAACCCA